CTGGGACTGTTCAATTTCTCTAGGGAAAAATTCTCTAATCTTCTGCAAAAGAAGGGGTTGGAGGTCTGTTTATTCCTGTTTTTCTCTGCTGCTTTTCCTCCACCTCACTTGCTGTTTTCCACTTCATATGTATTTCTCTATACCTGTCCTTCAGCATATTTTACCTAGTTTTCAGCCATTACTTTATCCAGATAAAAATTCTCTTGTCTTCAGCCTGTGGGAAACAGTGATGGAGGTGAGAGATTGTATTTGTTTTGGCTGAGAGAAGTAAGGCAGAGGCTGTATAATTTTCAACTAGCCATTTTCTGGCCTGTTCCTTGGCTCTACTCTTTGCAATGACTTTTACCTCCAAGTCTGAGCTTCTCAGGGGTCGTAGGATAAATCAGCACGCTTCTCACTGGTAGCCCCCTTGCAGTCCCTTCAGATCACAGCCTCCTCCATCCTGCTCAGTCATTGCAACTGCTTTCTGTTTTCCAGCAGTCTGTTGGAATCCCTTTTTCTGTCTTCTCTCTCCTTTCCATCCTTTTGGCCTCGTATCTTTTTAAAGAATGGGTTTCAGATGGTCATACAGTCAACTTTACTTTTTTTCTTGTTGTATACACTATTATCTTCATTTTACAGATAAAGAAACTAAGGTATAAATAGATTATGAAACTTGCCTTTAGTCATATCATTATTAGCTGGCAGACTCAGGATCTGACTTCCAAGTTCTTAACTACAATATTTTTTCTCTCAGCCTAGGCTTCTGCAGTAGATCATGCTTGATTCTAAATCTAGGTTATTAATCATGTTCTTGCCCTGTCGAGAATACCTGTTAATCTCTACTCCATTTATCCCAATTTTCCCAGACCCTGCTAAAACTCAGTCTTTTCAAAACCTTCCTAATGACCATTATCTTCCTTGAATTTCCAATAGCAACTTTTACTATAGCAGTTACAAGAGTCATTTATATCTGCATCATAATTTACTATTATGTGTATATTATCTTCCTAATTGGATTATATGCTCCAGAAGGTCAGATATTTCAAGTTTTTCTCCTGAGCATATTGGAAAGTGTTACATTCACAGCAGGTCCTCAGTAATTGTTCAACAAGGAATGAACTTATAGTCATGTTTTAAAGCATTTTCCATACATAAGGATTTTAGAGCCAGAGATAAAGATTAGTACAGCCCCTTTAATGACTAAGACTGAGACTTGAAATTAGATAAATTATTTAATAGTAAAATAATACAGCAATTAATTGACAACCAAATGCTTCCTGGTTCGTGTCATAATCAGAATAGGGAGTTATACTGAAATGTTACCTTTTATCTAACTAGTAGTTGCTTTTTGATTTTTTTAATCCTCACTCGAGGACACGCTTTTATTGATTTTAGGGAGGAAGGGAGAGAGAAACTTTGATGTAAGATCAATTGGCTGCTTCCTGTACGTGCCTGGACCAGGGATTGAACCCACAACACCTAAGTATGTGCCTTGACCGGGAATCAGATCTGCAACTTTTTGATGGATGGGACAATGCTCCAATCAGCTGTCACCGGTCAGGGCTAATCAGTAGTTTTGATACAATAAACTTCGCGTGAAGTTGTCCTATATTGATTTTGTAAAACTGGATGTGGATTAAGCATGGTTTAGAATTAAAATACGCATCCCAACCCCACAAAACTACTGGCATTTGTCTGCTTTTTGTTTATAGATGTTATAGGCAGAATCAAAGTAAAGGGTTGACATCTTTTTTTAAATTTTTTTTAGTTTTAGGAAAAGAAAGGTTGAGTCCCGTTGTGATTTGGTAATTCTGCATCAGTTAACTGAAATATTTTCACTTAGTAATTTTACACCTGATGTCCATAAACTTATCTTACTGACAACACTTAAACTATCACCGACCATATCTAAATGTATTGCCAGTTCTGTTTTAATATTCAGGAACCCTCTGGAGGAAATATTTTTTCAAAACAAGAGCCATTTCTAATAATTTTTCTAGTATTACAAAAGAGCCTGGTACTGATTTTTTGGAAAGGAAACTATTTTGAAAATAACTGTTCTGCTTCAGAGGATGCATTTACAAATCTGTTAACAAATTTCAGGTGTGCCTGGGAAGATCCAGTCAAGTTTAATAGGCACCCAAGCACATTCAGCCATGTTTTCTGTCTGGATAATCACAGTTTACAGAGCAAGAGCAAGGAAACAGTGAGTGAGGAGCCCTGGGACTGAAACATGTTGGAAAGGAATACAATGAGTATTAAGGAAGAGATTTTTGAATGTTTATATTCAAACAATTATTTTGTGCAGCATACTATTCATTTAACCAATATTTACTGTGTGCCAGGTACTTAGTCTAGGTGCTAGGGATACAGCAATGAACAAAATAGCTTTAAGTAGAGTCTTTTTTTTTTTTTTAATTTTTTTCCCCTTTATTGATTTTAGAGAGAAAGTGAGAGGGAGAGAGAGATAGAGTCATTTTCTAACTTAAGTTCTTAAAAGGATCCCTGCTGTGGAAGATAAACTGGATGGAAGAGCAGAACTAGGGAAACCAGTTAGAAAGGGCTTTTGCAGCAATGCAAGCAAGAGATGATGATGTCTTGGCTTGGAGTGGTAGTAGCGAGAGTAGGAGATGAGAAGTGGTCAGTTTCAGATTATATTTTGAAGGTGCAGCCAACACCTTGGGGCTTGAAATGAAGAAAGCTGCAGTGGAGAACACTTGGAAATGAGTGGAAAGAATTCTGAGATGCCTGTTAGACATCTAAGTGGAGATATCTGGAGTTAAAGGGAAAGGTCAAGGTGGAGAGTTGTCAGCACACCAATGGTGTGTCATGGCATTGGATGGAATCACAAAAGGGGTAAATGTAAAACAAAAAAAGCTGGTATTCTCAAAGTTAGAGACTGAGAGGATGAGGAAACTAGAAGTAGCAGCTGTTGAAATAAAACAGAAAGTGTGGTAATATGGAAGAAGCCTCATTAAGACATTGTTTAAAGGAGTATACATACATGTCATAGTGTACTGCATTTATGGCTTATTTCCAAATAAATTGGAAATATACTTTGAGGGAACAGTTGAGTATGTTAAATGTCACTCATACATGTAAAGATGAAAATTGAGATTTACAGTTTATTTGGCAACAGAGAAGCCATTTGTGATCCTAACAAGAGCACTAAAATCCTGTCCAAAATGAAATAAATTAGAAGGGGAAGGAAAGACAAGTATAAAGAAATGTTTTACTTTGAAGAAGAGAAATGGGATGGTAACTGAAATCAAAGGAGGTTTGTTTGTTTAATTTGAGAATGTGCTGATGGATCCTGTAAAGGGATGGGGGATGGATTATACTGTACTAAATGACATGGAAATGAGGGTCTGCATCTACTTTAGGATTCATTTTATGTGAATCTTTAGTTCCTTTTGGGCAGAGCTGTAAGTGGCTGTCATCCAATACATATCAATATTCTGTTGGTTAGCAGTTCACCCCCTTTAAGCTGTCAGGGGATTGGTAAGAAATTCACTATTCTCTGTTCAGAGAAGTTTATAGTCTAGCTCCATAAATGGAGAAAACATAAGAAAGTACATACAACTTAAACAAGTTAAAGTGGTAGAAAATCCTTTTTTTTTTTTTTTTAAATCCTCACCGGAGGATATTTTTCCATTGATTTGCATATAGAGTGGGAGGGAGGGAGGGAGGGAAAGAGAAAGATCCATGTGCCTCTCACATGGATTGATTGGCCTCCCACACGACAACGCCCCCCCCCCCCCCCCCCCCATCAAACTGCCACTCAAGTACACGCCCTTGATTGCAATCCTGCAACTCTGGTCCGCAGGCGAGCTCTAACTGCTAAAGGAAGACGGCCAGGGCGAAAATCCATGCTCCAGCTATTGGCACCTGGTAATGTCCTCAAGGATTTGTTTACAGTATGTAATTCAGAGCAGGGAATGATCCCGGTCCTTCCATACTAATTCAGGAAGAGATGAATTGGGTTATTTATAAACATTGGTGAAGAAGATAACTTGAACTGGGGACAGGTAACTTGGTGGGTCTAACCCTAAAGATTAAAGAGAATAATTTTAGTATTAATTTTTGTCTGTACACTTCACCTATGCTGAACGCATATATCAGCAGCTTCCTATTTAAAACGACAATGGGTTCATTAGAACTGAGTTTGTAAAAAGGTGAAAAGATCTTTATTGTAGTATAAGGTAGTTTACATTTATATACATTTGGGAATGGGCACAGAATAAAGACACTTGTAACCTCATATAAGCAAGATTGATGCAAGATACACCGACAGCCTATCTGTAAAATTACTATGCCTAGCAACTCCAATTATGGAAAGTGCCCTGCTGGACCTGAGACAGCAAGACTTGAGTTCAGATTTGCCATTCCATTTCTTGTCCGCAATTTAAAAATTCCCCCTCTTTTCAGCGTTTTACCAGGCACACAGAAATGAGAGAGCAGCTCCCACGATGTCGGGACACCCGAAGAGCTTCCTGCACGGGGACTTCGGCAGCACCCAGAAGTACAAGGAGATCAAAACTGGCATCCCCCCGCAGGTCTTCACAGCATGTCCTCAGCACAAGGAACAATAACTCCCTCACAACAGTTTCTTCGATGGAGAAAACTGGTTGTATCCGTGTAAGAGGAGTTACCGTCTTTGTTTTGAATTTCATCCAACTTCACAGCCCACCCAGGGTTCATTCAGCTTCTAAAATGGCTCAACGGTTACTCAAGGTTTTATGCCTTCTCGTTCAAAATACACAAATTTTCTAGGATAGCGTGGTCTCACGTTAATTTATCTAAGCTACTTAAAAGAGAAAGTAATTCATCACTCCCCACCTCTCTGGTCTCAAAAGCCGTTTGCCAGCAGCGGGAACAGCGTCCTACAGGTCGGGAACGAGACGAGGGGCCGAACCGGCCTACTGGCTAGAGCGGCCACCGCAGCACCGCCGCTCTCGCTTCTCATGCGCTCTCTGTGGTTAGAAGCGCAAGTCCTCCTCCGTCCGGAAACAGGTAGGGCCCCCGCGGTTTGCGCACCGCCGGAAGGTAGTTCCGGTTCCGGTGTGACAATATTCGTTCCCGGTGTTTAGTTGTCGGGGTTGGTGGGCAGTAACTGAGCCAACATGCTTCGTAATCTGCTGGTGAGGAGCTTCTCCGCTTGCAGTTGCGATGCGGAGCGGGAGGGTTGGGAGAGGAGGCTAAGGGCCGGGACCGACCAAAAAGCCTGTTCCGAGAGGGAAGGAGGAAGATGGGGCAGCTTAAGTCACCTTGCCTTTGCCCTTTTTTTCCGGACGTTACTTTCCCTTCCCTTCCCCTCGCCCCGCGCCGTGCTTGGTAGATGTAGGGAGCGGAGAGCTTGGGAAGGCGACCAGAGGACTGTGGGTTAAAGCCATGGCGGTGTCCGTCGCCACCCTAACTCTGAGGGCCATTGGTGAGTGCAGCTGCTCCGACGTGAGTAGAACCAAGGCCCGGGGGGAGTTTCAGATTCCCGGAAGCCTCAGACAGAAAGATGTGCCTGTGATACTGCAGGGGTGGTAAGTTTCAGTGGTTCTGAGCTTGGTGAGCCTCGGAAGGCCGTTAAGAAAAAGCGAGTTGTTCGGTTTTGGGTGGGACTTCAGGAGCAGTCATGGCGGAAGTGTAGTGTTGCTTCCTTCACACGGTCCCGCAGTGACCTTCACCCCAAAGCAAAGGAAAATGTAACAGTGATCACTTTCTTTTGTAATAATTCAGAGGGTTTTACTTGGTTTCTTAATATACTTATTTTAGAAAATTGAGTGCTTTATTTATTTCATTAGTTATGTAATTCAACTGGGTATATAATGCAAGTCTCTTTTTAAAACGATTTATACCCTATTAAGGATTTTTTAGGGAAAAATGGAATGAGAGCAGTATTTTAATTACGTAGGGACCATACTAATTAATTTTGATACCTAGTAATAGCTTTTTAATATGGTAGAGTATTAAATGAAAACGTTTGAGCTTAGTGTATTTTGTAACCGTTTTTTATTTTTGTAATATCTATTATATCAATGTATTTTCTAAATGATTATATAATGGTAGTGGCTCAGTTCAGGTAAAGATCTGAGGGTTTTTTGCTCGGAATCAGCCTGAATTGCTTCTTGAATGTGGTCTTTGGAGACTGCAGAATGGATATAAAGAGTGGGGGATGAACAACAAATTGGAAAACCTGGATGTTGGTTTATAACTTTGCTGACAAATTGTATATGTTTTAACCCTCAGTTTCCCCCTTCTGTAATTGTAAAGATTGTACATGGTTGGTTTTGAAGGTTTCCATAAGCCCTAAGACTGTTTAATATGTATGGATTTTCCATTTCAGTCTCTTCGTCAGATTGGCCAGAGGACCATAAGTACTGCTTCACGCAGGCAGTTTGAAAATAAAGTTTCAGAGAAACAAAAGCTTTTTCAGGTACTGAAATCTTTTATAAGAAATTGTTACTTATAGTAATATGATTACCAAAATGTGGAAGTAGGAAGAAAGTCTGGAGATGTCTGATTATTAGTGATTCTGTTGTAGAAGGATAAACTGTCTATTGATAGCTAACTGGGCATTTGCTGTATCCAGGAGGCCCTTGTGGAAGCAGAAGAAATGAGAGGGAAAGGGTATATATAGGTCAGGGACACTTTTTTTGGAGGAGTTATATTGGGTTGGCACTCTAAGGTATAGCCCAGGAATAGGCACGTAGATCCTAAGAAGGGCCCAGAAACAGGAAAGATATATACACTTAATACATGTTAAAGGTGCTATTTTATATCAGTAGAAAAAAGGATACAATTAATTGGTACTGGAAAAATTGGCTGTTTTAAAGAAAGTAAAGTTACATCCCTTCTGTACTATACTATATTAAAAGATAAATTGCAGATATAAATGCCTCTCAAAAAAATTAGAATAAAATATGGGAGATATCGCCTCCATCCCGAGTTTTGTTGAGATATTATTGACAAAGTTGTATATGCTTGGTTTGTACCTGATTTTTTTTTAAGACATACAACGTGATGTTGAATGTATCTGTGATTACCACAGTCAAGTTATCACATCCATCACCTCATGTAGTTACTTTTTTTGTGTAGATGTTCAAGAGCACTTAAGATCTACTCTCTTAGCAAATTTCAAGTATACAGTAGAGTATTATTAGCTACTATAATTACCATAGGAGAATATTTCTTATAATTGTAGGGGTGGGAAGACTTTCTAAGGAAGCTTTAAAGGAGAAAATTTACAAGATTTTATGGCGACATAAAAATTTAAAGTGCATTGATGATTACTAAAGACAAGTGATGACTTGAGAACAAAATTTAAAAATATAACAAGGTTCATGTCCTTAGTATACAGAGAGTTTCAACAAATCAATAAGAAATGTAAATTAAAATTACAGGTTACTAATTTTATCCTATTGTCAAAATTTTAGAAAGATTTAAAATAGGTTATGTTAGATAGGTGAGAGAGATAGGTACATTCATACACAATACTTTGATAACATGCTAGGTAGTGGTATACTTGATACAAAAGTTTTAGAGGGTATTTGAAAGTATTACAAACAAATTACATACCCTATCTGGGACTCCCACTTTTAAGAATCATTCCTATAGAAATAATAGCATAGGTATTTAAAAATAGGAAAAATGATATTCATTACGGGATTTTTAATAGCAAAAAAAACCTTGATAACCTACTGCTCATTAATAGAGGATTGGCTAATTCAGTTACTATATTTTTGCACAGTGGAATGTTAGTAGCCATTAAAAGGAACAAGGTAGGTTTAAATGGACTAACAATGCTTTTCAAGATAGCATGAGCAAAAAATATTATGTAGTAGATCATTATATAGCATAACCTCATTTTGTATATTAAGCACATATATATATATAAATTAGAAGATATGACAATGTAAGCATTAACATGTACCATGTTAATAGTAGTTTTCTCATGAGGAAAGACTTAGTGGGATAGAGTAGTTTACCTTTATAAGTAATTAGATTATCTGTGATTTTTTTAAAAATTGAGATCTTTGGTATATCGCAAATAAAATTTTAAGTCATAAGAAGTTGGATCATCTACTATTCTACATAAAAATAGAATATTTATATTTAAAAGACGTATTAAATATCTATTCTATGCCAGATGCTGAACTAGGGGCTAAGGCTATGATTTAGGGTTATAAACGAATCTGCCCTCCTCCCTTTTTTTTTAAGAATAAAAAATCTCTTTGACTGAATCTAAAGTGTGATGATTACTAATATGTTTAATTAAGCTGATGTACTCAATGAGTATATTTTCATAGCATTAACATTTATATTTTATATGTTCCATGGAAAGAACATCTTTATTAGATCTCAAATTAACTTTAAAAGAAAGAAAGGTTGGCTTTAGAAGTTCCTATTTTAAAAGTATTCGAGTAGAGAAACAATTGGAAAAATTGTAGTTCTTTTTAATTTTGAAATTAAAAATATTTTAAATCCAGGGGTTTAAGGAGCCACTTAATTTTATATGAATGCATTAGCCTTTTGAACTTGTTTGGAAACAAATAACATATATTATTTATTATTATTATTTTTTTTAACCTTAGGAGGACAATGGAATTCCAGTACATCTAAAGGGTGGGGTAGCTGATGCCCTTCTGTATAGAGCTACCATGATTCTTACAGTTGGTGGTAAGATATTTAGAATGCTTGATTTATAGAAAAGTAATAGTAAGGGTAACTAACAATTTCATTTCTCTTATTATACCAGTATTTTTTTGTATTTAATTCTCACCAGAGGATATTTTTCCATTGATTTTATTTTTATTTATTTATTTTTTGAGATAGAGTGGGAGGGAGGGAAGCCAGGGAAAGAGAGAAACATCAGTGTGAAAGAGTCATATCAATTGGTTGCCTCCTGTATGACCCTGACTGTGTGCCAGAGATTGAACTTCAACTCTTTGGTCCACCAGTCAATGCTCTAACTGCTGAGTCAAACTGGTCAGGGCTCCAGTATTTTTTAATATTATTTTTTAAAATATTAAATTTATTGGGGTGACATTAATAAGATTATGTTCCAAGTACATAGTTCTGTAATACATCATCTGTATATAGCACTGTGTCATGCCAGTATTTTAACACAAGCAGGCAGCTCCCAGAATCTGAGAACTTACTGCTTTGCACATAAGGATTCAGGAAGGCGATTGGTACCTATTGTTGAAGAGCATTTTAATGTTTTTAAATATATATACCAATAAAGTTTGATGATTATTTTTTTCTTCTTTTTTTAATCCTCACCCTAGGATATTTTTCTTTTTTTTAATTTCTTTTATTTTTTTAGGGAGAGAGAGAGAGAAATATCTATTGAGAGAGAGAGACATCAATCGACCGCCTCCTGCATGACCCCCACTGGGAATCGAGCCCGCAATCTGGGCATGTGCCCTGATGGGTAATCGAACCAGGACCTCTCAGTCCATGGGACGATGCTCAAACCACTTAGCCACACCGGCCTGGCTAGAATATTTTTCCATTGATTTTTGGATAGAATGGGAGGGAAGGAAGGCGGGGGAGGGGGTAGAAACATCTATGTGAGATTATTCCCTGCACAACCCCGACCTGGACTGGGGATCAGACCTGAAACTGAGTGCCCTTGACCAAGAATCGAACCTAAGACTCTTTGGTCTGAGGGTCGACACTCTAACCGCTGAGCTAAACCGGCCAGGGCTGGTAACTATCTTTTGATAGAGGTAGCTTTCCATTGTGCCACTGCAGACCTTTGCAGGAATCAAAGACATCCACTCTACCCCATCTCTTGCAGTGGACTTTTATGTGATGCAAATTTTACATCTAAATCCAGTACACATTTATGACAAAACCTGTACAGACCAATACTTAATTACTGTATGCAAAGTGCTTTGAAATTTTTTTTTTCTGTGGATTGGGCAGGTCCATTATTCAATATTAGTAGTGGAATACACAAATTGGTGTACTAGGAACAGAGTTAGGAATTTGGTGCTCCCTGGGGGAAGAAGGGAGACAGTAGTAGGGTGGTTACTGTGTGCTTATGTATTAATAGGAGTGCTACAGTCTGGCTGGTGTGGCTCAGTGGTTGAGCATTGATCCATGCACCAAGGGGTCGCCAGTTCAATTCCTAGTCGGGGCACATGCCCAGGTTGTGGGCCAAATTCCCAGTGGGAGGCATGCAGGAGGTGACCAATTGATGTTCTCTCTCATCGATGTTTCTAGCTCTCTCTCCTTCTCCCTTCTTCTCTCTAAAATCAATAAAGAAAAAAAAAAAATAGGAGTGCTACATACGTGGATTTCCGTAACCTTTGTATTAAGTCTACATCCATATTTTAAAATGAAGAAATTATGTTAATTACCCAAGATAATATTGCTTCTATGTGGAAAAGCTGGGATTTGAGCTCTAATTACAAAGTCCCTCTGCTCATGCCAAGATGCCTTCTTTGACATAAAATTGAATATAGTGAAGGGGCCTTTTAAGGGTGAACACAACCACCAGATATTAACATTGGGCTTTCTTAAGATATCCTAAATTCTTTTTGTCCAATATGACTACTAGGCATTCTGATAATTAATTTAAAAAATAAATTTCTAGTTATTAGCTATTCTTACATTAAATTTGATTATTTTAAAATTATATATCACTGTTCCTTGGTTTTACATAAATAATGTACTTTAGGGAAGGCTTGTGTATTTTTATCTCTTTATTGGCTTTTGAATCATTCTTAGCATTTCTCAGGCAATCTTAAGTAACTATGGAAGTAATCTTTATGTATGTTCTTAATCTTATTTAAAATTTTTTGGCATGTTATTAAGTTGACAAATACATTATTGTGCTGCATCTAACACTTTGTGTAGAAGTTAAGTAATACTGAAACTAGAATAAATATTTATATATTTTTTAAAATTTGCCAGCATATTTTTAAAATATGTCAACATACTTTTTTCTGTTCCCATAAAAGTAGTCTTATTGCAAACCTTGCTTTTATCTTACAACCTTTAGCTGGAATATTAGGTTTATACATTTAAATCTTAGATTTTCTTCTAAGTTCTTCTTTTGTTTCTCTTTATTTTTTAGGGACAGCATATGCCATATATCAACTGGCTATGGCTTCACTTCCCAAGAAGCAAGATTGACTTCAGTTATTCTTCCAGCCATCAGCTGGTTGGTTCACTTTCATTCAGCTCTCTATGGACCAGTATGCTGATAAATAACTGAATTCTCTGGGGATCAATATTTATTGACTTGTACTAACTGCCACCAATAAAGCAGTCTTTACCATGTTTTGTCTTATTTTATCACACTTTAGAATACATATACCAGTAATTTTCAGGTTTTGATCAGTCTTATAAACTTTAGGTAAGGAGCAAAAACTTGCTCTTTTGTTATTAAGGTTTTATAAAGTACCACTGTGATATTCCTTTTAGGGAAATTTTATTTTTGGCAGCTCAGAATTTCAAAGTGGATGGTCTTCAGCTTTAATTGAGCTTGACACTTGAAAGTCCTGCCCCACTGTACTATATCCTGTGATATGCTGAAACCTAAGGTTAGTGGAAGGAGACTATTTTTGGTTCATGGGGTTCATTTCTTTTTTTCCTCTTTTTTAGCTATATGAGTGTATATTTAAATATTTGATGTAATCTACAGTTTAGAATTAGGCTTTAGTAGAATAGCTATAAAATAATTCAGTATTTGTTATTTTTTCCACACTCAGGATTGGTTTTTATTGTTTCTTTAATCCATAACTGAAGTGTAACTCCTTAAATACTAATTCATTTCTAAAAGTTGTCTTAGGGAACTTAAAGGAGTTAGACTTTGTCATCTCTGCAAGGTGTACATTTGTAACACTATAAAGATTAGAGTGTAGATGCATCAGATCTAGGGGAAATCTGTGGATGAGTGTTTTATAATTAACTGCAATGCTGGATAAAATTTTTTAAAGTAATGTATTGAGAAAATAATTCTAATCGGAAATAGCCAAACTAAGCCTTTTCTTACTAAAACACCGAGGCTTAAAGTAAAAATCCATCTCAAACGGTACCTAAGGAAAGATTTGAATCTTCAAGATTGGAAAGGGTTCTTGGTAGCCATATTATAAAACCAGCCACCAAATGCATGTCAAAACTGACAGTCTTATTGCTAGCATCAGCAGAAGACACTGCTTTTGAAGGGAGTGGAGTAAGTATCATTAGATGTTTCTAAATGCTGAGGAAGTTCTTAAGATGGTCTGGAATCTGGTTCAGTTCAGTGATTTCAGAGCTAAAAAGCAGTCACTGATAATTTACAACAAGTTATATTGATTGGCATTTTACAGAGAATTTCATAAACATGATTGAAATGCTTCTGTGACATGTGAGATACTGTTGCATAGAAAAGGAGAAACAGCTTGATATCTTCAACATTGTCTCCAACCTTTGTGTCTTGATATGAGATGCTTTACTATTCTGGTGTAATGGTATTTGTAAAACATTTTTATGCCAAAATGTTCTGTTTGGGCTATGTTAATATGGCAACCTTGGATAAAGAAAAAGTAGTTGAGGGCATAAGATACTTAAAAAAAAAAATTGTTAGCCCTGGCTGGTTTGGCTCAGCGGTTAGAGCGTCGGCCTGCGGTCCCGAGAGACCCGGGTTCGGTTCCCGCTAAGGGCACGTACCTCGGTTGCAGTTTGTCCCCGGCCCTGGTTGGTCGTGCGGGTGGCAGCCACTCGATGTGTCCCTTTCACATCGATGTTTTTCTCTCTCTTCCTCTCTCCCCCTCCCACTCTACCTGAACAAAAAATGGAAAAATGTCCTCAGGTGAGGATAAAAAAAAAAAAAAAAAAAAAAATTGTTATTAAGATTAAATATTTGTCTTATCCTAAAATTCTACATTGTAAGCAAGAGTGGAGATAGGTGGATGAGGGGCAAGACTGCAGGGTAGGGATTGCTGAATAGAATCCTGTGAAAATGTTTGCTACATTTACCATATAGGAGTTAGTATTAATAGATTTCAAAGACTGACCAGGCCATAGAAGAAAGTCCATAAGAAATACTGGATTGAAAGTGTGGCCTTCAGGGAAAATAAAACCACTGTCATTCCAATCTTGTGTTTTATCTTACACACATTATACTTTTGAGAGTAGTATCTGTGACCAAGTAGAAGAAATTTCATGATGATCTTATCCCACTAATATAAACTATGGAAGGGAGATATATTTAAGTGAAATTTTATTAAAATAAGTACTATGCAGGCCTTGGCAGGGTAACTTGCTTAGTTGGGACATCGTCTCAATATCCCAATATGCCAAGGTTGCTGATTCAATGCCCTGTTAGGACACATACAAGAATCGACTAATAAAGCATAAATAAGTGGAACAACAAAAAAGTCGATGTTTCTAAAAAAATCAATCTAAAAAAAGGTACTATGCACAAAGTTACACTTGTATTCTGCAGCTCTTCTAGATGAAGTTAAACTGTGTAGATGAAAGCAGGCATGCAGATTACCCAAAGCTACAAATAAATGGCAGCACAAGATTTCAGCTTCAATATGCTGTTAATAGTAGTGTATGCAAATATGACGAGCCTACAGGCCTGCATCCCCATAGTCAAGCTTCTGAAAAGAGTGACCAGTAGAGTCTCCAGTTCCATTATGCAGTTTCATGTTGATCTCCACACATAATTTGCAATCTACCTATTTACTTAACATTTGTCTTGTTAACCTGTTTGAGATCCAAATTCAGCGCTCTCATCATTGACCATGTAGCTCTGCTGCTGCTTGGTGTGTGAGTACTCATCCTTGACACCCTAGGAGAGCTCCCCAGATTCAGCGGGAACTTTTAGCATTTTCCTCATTGATCCTAATGTTCCCTGCACTCATCTTCATCAAGAGTTTCAATTCCTTTGAACTTGAATTCAAATTTGAATTATAATTTTTTATAAGACCGGGGACCAGTATCGCATTGTAGTTAATCACACGGAGTCAGAAGACTAACTTACACCCTTGGATTACCATGGGTATCTAACCTTGCCAAGCTTGTATCCTCATCTCTAAATAAAATAACTAGAGCACATAGTTATTCTAACGTGTGTAAAGCACAAAGGATGGTTTCTGACATGCCGAGTGTGCAAAAAATGTCAGTACATCTGTTAGCTCAGAGAGGAACTGTTTTCAACCTACATCTCTATGAACTTGGCACAGAGTAGGAACTGAACTGGTCACGACCGGGGCTGGTAGGGCAGGTTCACAGTTTCACTCACGTCCTAGCTGACTTCTGTCTTCTGGCTCTGCTATCTTTAGTGGGTGGCTTTCCTTCTTGCAAGGTGGCTGCTGCAGCTCCAGCTGATTTGTCTCTGCTGCAGGAAGAAGGATTGGTGAAAGAGCACATGCTAGATAAGTGAGCTCTTTAAGGAGCTTCAGAAGTCCTACACAGACTTCCACTTGCATCTTTTTAGCCAGACCTTTGTCACATGATCATGCCTGGATTCAAGGAGGCCAAGAAATGTTTTAGTTGGGCATATTGTCGAACAAAGTTGGAGGTCTATGTCATGAGAAGGGGAGATTGGGTATTCAGTTGGCAACTAACAGCCTTTCCCCCAGCCAGGTGGTTTTTTTTAAAAGGGGAAGTCCACCCTGAGGGCACAGAACCTGGAAGCATTTCAGTTCCTAGCTCCAGCTGTTTCTGAAGCCCAGGTCCATACCGCTTCTCAGGCTAGCTGCATTCCCATGGCCAATTTTACTTAAGTTAGTTCAGGTAGGTTTCTCTCCCAGGAACCACCCAAAGGAGGCTTTCCTGAGTTTCCCACCTGTTATACCATCTAATGAAACCACAACTTTATCATTTAACCCAAACCAGCTATTTTCAACCAGTGTGCTGCAAGAATTTTTTAAACATGCAGTAATACCTGACTATTTAGTCGGGAGCACTGACCTTTTTCCCCTTAGATTGTCAAAATGACAATAACCAACACACATCCGATATGAATGAATCAAAATTAAACCTATTGTTTTTAGTCAGATAAGCAAAAAATACATACCACAGAATTTTAGTAATTTGTCTATGTGTGCCATGAGATGCAAAAGTTGAAAATTGCTGTCCTTAGACAATACTTAGGTGCGTGATAAATGGCAGCCATTACTGGTTTCTGATAGCAGGGGTGTTTCAAGGAGACTTACTTGAACACAAATGCAAATAGATGCAGAGAGTTTTGATGCCGCTGCAGCCAGTTCGCTCCAGGTCTGTAGAGCACTTCCTGCTGTTTGATTGTAGGTACAAGTTCCCAAAGCCGGCAGTGTCCCAGGCACCTAGCTTGGGACTCTCTCCCCTTGGGTCTTGGTATACATCTCTGTGGAGAGCAACATCTTATTACCAACTGTCCAGGACTTCTATATATACATCAAGATTACTAATTCAAGTGAACAGATATTGAGTGCCTTCTGTGTGCCAGTCACTACTGTAGGTGCCTGGGAATCATTGGTGAACAAAGTATGCCCTCCGAGTTTACATTATAGTGAGGGGTGGCAGAGAAGACAGTTATAAAATATAAAAATGTATAGTAAGTGAGAAGGTAATACATTCTATGGGGGAAAGACAAGGGGAGAGCTGGCATGGCTTGGGGTGATTGGATGCAGCAGTAAAAGGGCGAGGATAGGCTTCAATAGGAAAGTCAGATTTAAATAGACTAGGGGAAGGAGCTAGTCAATTATTTAATCAGATAAGGGGGAAAGGCATTATGGGAAGAGGAACAGCTTAGAGCAAATACTGAAGGTGGCTGGCATGTTCCAGGAATAGGAAGGCCAGAGCTATCGCTGACTGAGCGAGGGAGATGTCAAGGAAGGAGGGACCACACCAAGTAGGGCTTTGTAGGCTATTTGTAAGGAGTTTGGCTTTCACTTTGAGTGATATAGGAAGCCCACCACAGGGTTTCTCACAGAAGAGTTGGCAGTTGTGTTGAAATAAACCATAGGGAGCACAAGGGAGAAGCAGGCAGGCCCCCTAAGAAGCCTACGGCAGTAATCCAGGTGAGATGATGGAGGCTAAGAACTGGTGGTAGTCATGGGCATAATGGAGGGTCCAGATTATGAACAGAGGAGGATCTTTATCGACCATCGAGACTTTGCCCTTATCCGTCCGTCCATCCATCCATCCATCCATCCATCCATCCATCCATCCATCCATCCAACAATTACTTATTGAAAGCCTACTTTGTGTAAGGCATGGTTCTAGGCTCCGAGAATACAACTGTAAACTTGAGCCCTGGCCGGTTTGGCTCAGCGGTTAGAGCGTCGGCCTGCGGTCCAGAGA